ACATAGTTTGGCATTTGTACCAACTTAAAATTTACCGGTGGCAATCACAAGCCCGACAACCGAATTACCGCCAATCAAATTCCCGACGTTTTAAATGCCGACAGTATCGAAATCCCGACGTTTGAAATCCTGACATCGGATTTTGATACAGTCGGGATTTTTATATAGTCGGGATTATGGTTTAGTCGAGATTTCGATACAGTCGGGATTTCGAATGTCGGGATTTCAATAGACTGTCTTTCGGTTGTCGGGCTTGCGATATAGACCCAAAATTTACTTGTATTTGCTTAGTTTTAGTTTATAATGCAAATACGAGTATTTCAAATGTTAATCCCATACATATTTCTTCTTATTCAACAAATTCATTTATTTTTTAATATTATTTATATAAGTCCTTTGTATTATTATACATTTATGGATTTTATTTAAAAACTAACAATAATGATGTAATGTCAATATATTGTTGTTTTCTTGCGATAATGTTTTGATAGAGGAACGACGAAACGTGAATGGGTTTAAATGGATTTAATTAAATTCGACGGCGAATGTCCAGGTGTCCTGGATAATAAGGGTCGCGTAATGTCCTTGCAAGGGTGGACCATTATAGTTTATCCTCATCGCTGAATTGTGTGTGTGTGTGTGTATTGTCCGCGGGTCTTTCAGGCAGTGTATCTCTCTATCTTGCTTCAGTAACCCCCCCTAAGGGTCCTGAGCTCGGGCACAATTTTCCTGGATGCTTTCGCTGCATAGGAGAGAGCATGGAAGCCGTGTAGCCGTGGAATGCGAGGTATTTCAATTAATCCGCGAATCAAAAGAGACGAGCGTCGCTTTATGCCCGCTGCCTCCGCCGCCGCCCCCGACGACGACGACCCGTGCGAGAGAGAGAAAGAGTGAGCGATGAAAAGGATGAGTGTGAGAGAGAGAGAGAGGGGATGTAGGAGAACGGAGAAGAGCAGCAGCTAATATCCAGGACCGATTATCCTCGCCGAAACCATTATGTTCTCCTCCAACCAGGGGGAGCAAAGGGGGTTGACTCCGCCGCCCCCGCACTTCTCCACCCTCCCCCTCTTCACGGAGGACAAACCGCCCCCGCCTAAACTCGAGTCACGCTAATTTGCGTGCTTATTAGCTTACGTTTCGGCACAAAGATTCCTCCTCCACTTCCACCGACTCTCTGTCTACTTTTCTTTCTTTTTTTTTGCTCGTTTTAACCCAGCCCGTGTTTTTTTTTCAGTTTTAATTAAGTAATTCATTATCGGACCCCCGACAGGAATCGACTGGCATCCGATGTAATGAAACGTATACCCAAGAACAATTTGCAGATTGAATACGGAATTTAACGAATCAAATCAATATTATGCAATACACCTATAAGATTAATTATTCTTAAACACACAATCATTGCAGTGCATGTTATATAACTTATATATAATTCAAATTTTGCCATTTGCTTATTACTATTTTTAGTAGAATTTTTATAATTTTTTCCGATGTTTTGTCTTGGAACATACAAGCAATGAATATTAAAATTATAAAAATAGTTCTTTTTATAACACGAATTAATATTTTCCAAATTTACTTATAACTTTTCAAGTAGCTTGTAATAATATAGATGTTATAAAGGAATATTTAATGATTAAATCTCGTTACAAAATGTTATTTCTTTGAAAATGAATGAATACTATGGTTTTCATGGTAACTTTTTGTTAAAGTCTGAAATTTCAGTTTAAAACGTGCCTGTGTTCGCGTTGCAGAAGTAAAAAGTTCGATGCCGGTGGTTTTTTTTTTGGGCATACAAAAATATGAAGCCTGGATATTACAAACGGGACGCGCCTGTTGAGAAGCAATAAATAAATACCAGAATCAAATAAAAAGCTACCCCGAATAAAAAAAAGGAGAGAGAACGAATCGCGCTCGAAAAAAAGAGAGACAGAAAGAGAGATATAACGTGAATGGAAGAGAGAAAGAGCGATGAATGTTCGCAACATCCACCCCTCAATCCGCTTATCCTACATACAACAACCGCCACCCATCCCATACCGGAGAGTAGTACCGAAAAAATAAAGTAATTACACATCAAACGGATTGCGGAAAAATGCGGTTGGAATTCATATTGTTTTCATAACATAACAAGGCCGTATTATATGGCGAACGCGCGATATAAACTGTCATATATCAAGAGCCGAGGACGAGGCTCCTGGCGAGGGTGGCTTCCTTCCGCCGAACCACCTCATCCCCCAAACAACATCCACCACCCCTCGTTGTCCGCGCTATGTCTCTCTAAACCATCCGTATGACATGATTGACTATGTTAATATCATTTGACGGCAGTCTCGGAACCGGGAGTCAAGCATCATCCCCCAAGTCCCGATCCTCTTCACATTATATATTGTCCGCGCCACCCTCATTAAGACCAGACCGAGACCAATCCTATTTTATTGCTATCTATCCTCATCACAATGCAAACGCTACGATGCCCTTCGATTCTGTTCAGTATTGTCGCAAATAATGGAATTACATCTGCCCTATTTAATACGCGAAACATCTTCTTGCATCAAACATGAACAGATCAAATATTTCATACAAAGACCTATGTTTACATTATTTATTAACCAATTCTAATTGATTTATATTAAGAAATTGACAATAATAATTTGTCAATTTGTTTATGTTTGTTTTCTGAAATATTGCAAATGTTTAAATTATTTTCTTAATAATTCATTCGAAATAATTAGATTAAAATTAAAACATTGAAAAATACATATTTTTTAGAAAGTTGCTAATTTCAATCTATTAAAAATATTTTTTCATATAAAGGTTTTAAAATTATAAAAATATTTGCTGAATAATACCAAATTGTATTGTAGTTTGAATTAACAATATCGTAGAAAATAATATTAGAAAAAACTGTATAATTTATATCTGAGTTCAATAATTATAGCTGTTAATTAATATTAGTGCTTGGTAGAAATCAATGATTTTCATTTAATTTTATATCTATTATTTTATTGTTGTTTATATAAAGTAATTATATCACAATGCAAACGCTACGATGCCCTTCGATGCTGTTCAGTATTGTCGCAAATAATGGAATTACATCTGTCCTATTTAATACGTGAAACATCTTCTTGCATCAAACATGAACAGATCAAATATTTCATACAAAAACCTATGTTACATTATTTATTAACCAATTCTAATTGATTTATATTAGCGTGTATATCATCAGAAAACCGATTCAACATTAAGAAATTGACAATAATCATTTGTCAATTTTTTTATGTTTTTTTTTTCTGAAATATTACAAATGTTTAAATTATTTTCTTAATAATTCATTCGAAATAATTTGATTAAAATTAAAACATTGAAAAATACATATTTTTTTAGAAAGTTGCTAATTTCAATCTATTAAAAATATTTCTTCATATAAAGGTTTTAAAATTATAAAAATATTTGCTGAATAAAACCAAATTGTATTGTAGTTTGAATTAACAATATCGTAGAAAATAAGATTAGAAAAATCTGTATAATTTATATCTGAGTTCAATAATTATAGCTGTTAATTAATATTAGTGCTTGGTAGAAATCAACGATTTTCATTTAATTTTATATCTATTATTTTATTGTTGTTTATATAAAGTAATTATATCACAATGCAAACGCTACGATGCCCTTCGATGCTGTTCAGTATTGTCGCAAATAATGGAATTATATCTGCCCTATTTAATACGTGAAACATCTTCTTGCATCAACATGAACAGATCAAATATTTCATACAAAGACTTATGTTTACATTATTTATTAACAAATTCTAATTTATTTATTTGACCGTGTATATCTTCAGCAAACCGATTCAACATTAAGAAATTGACAATAATAATTTGATAATTTCTTTATGTTTTTTTTTTTCTGAAATATTACAAATGTTTAAATTCGAAATAATTAGATTAAAATTGAAAAATACATATTTTTTTTAGAAAGTTGCTAATTTCAATCAATTAAAAATATTTCTTCATATAAAAGTTTTAAAATTATAAAATTTTTGCTGAATAAAACAAAATAGAAAACTTTAGTATTGTAGCTTGAATTAACAATATCGTAGAAAATAAGACAAGAAAAATCAGTAGAATTTCTAGTTTATATCTGAGTTCAATAAGTATAGTTATACAGTTATAGCTGTTGTTAATTAATATTAGTGCTTGGTAGAAATCAACGATTTTCATTTAATTTTATATCTATTATTTTATTGTTGTTGAATAATATAAAGTAATTATAATTATATAAGTTTAATGTAATTATAATCAAGATACCATTTGTTTTGCATAAGTTCTTGCTATTAAAGTTTTTACTTCAAATTATTTTTGTTAAAAAATAAGATTATGTAATAAGCATAATTTATAGTTATGAATGAATCTGTAACAATATAGGTAACAATTAGGTAACAATTAAATACTTCTATTCTATTAATTTAGTAAACGATTAATTTTAAGTAAATTATTTTGATATTAGATAAAATTGTTGCTTATGTGAAATTTTTATTATATTGGTTTTTTACATAATTTGATTTTATTACCATTTGTTTAATTTAATTAATTTAGAAGAAAAATGATATTTTTTAATAATTCAATACATAGGTTGAAAGGAGAAATGAAGGTAGACAATGTTTAGACACAGAAATGATATGAATTTTATTCACATATTTTAGCTTTTCATATTATTTTTTTACAAATTTACAAACACAAACAGGAACTTTAATAACAGAAGGGAAGAAAAACAGATGTGTTATCATGATATGATACAAAAGAAATATTTGGTCTCTTCATCTATAGCTTATAATGTGAACTATAAATCCTACGTTTCATGCTTACATATATTTGTTACATTTTATATTATATAGAATTTTTTTTTTGGTTTTAAATTTATGTTAATAATTATGATTTGTATCTTTTTTAGTATGTACAATTTACAAACGAAAAAAAATAATAAACTCAAAAAGGGGACTTACAAAATAAAATAACAACGAGAGAGGTGACGGATGGTCACTCACGTATCCGTGCTGGAGCTGTTTGTATCCTGTATATCCGGATGATTGTCGTCTAGGAGGATCTGCTGCTGCTTGAGAACGGCCAACCTCTGATGGGTGAGCTCTAGATGATGCTTGCGCCATTTTATCCGTCGGTTCTGAAACCACACTTTGACCTGCAGGATGATTATGATGATTGATTAGTTAATCGGTTGATGGTGATGATTGCAGTTGTATTTACCTGTGCTTCGGTGAGCTGAAGAGTGTGTGCGAGGTACAGCCTCTCCGGTCCGACCATGTACTGCTGCCTCTCGAATTCCGCCTCCAACCTCTCCAGCTGCTCGGGCGTGAAGATGGTCCTCACGCGTTTACTCTTGCAGCTCTTCTTATTCGCAAGATTCGAAAGTTGCTTCAAGCCTCGCACTGCAATGGATATGTATTTTTCGTGCGTGTTCATGGTTTTTGTAAGTGGATATTTACCGGCGTGTCTCGGCTGGGCGCATCCCGGTCCGACGGAATAGTGGTGTCCGGTCACGGCTACTGCTGAAGAACTATGACGACCAGGAAGCTGCAACCTGCTGCAATTCGAGACCAGAGCCCTTGCGGAGCCGTCCGTTCCACCGGGATGCACACTCAGATTGACGACGTTCAGGTCATCGCCAACAGGGACCTTCTCTTCGGCTCCTTTCAACCCTAGGATCGCTGCAATAGTGAAAGATTTGTTGCTGGCGACGGATCCTCCCTTGCAACGGGCATCATCCTCGCAGAGAGCGCTCGCAGTGCTCTGATCGTTCTCGTTGCTTGTCTGATCTTCGAACTGGTGATAGCTGAGAAAGTGCGACAACGACGTCGAGTAGTTATAGTGATGCAGCATCCTCGCATCCGTGAACGCATAAAATCCAAAAGGTAACTTAAAACAGCAATTTCGAAAATCTCTATTTAAGTAAGAACCACACTATTCACACTCTTAACTAGAACAATCACACCGGTAATTAGTTTGTATAAGTTTTGCGAGCGTGTCTTTCCCTGCGGGGGTGTATTAGGATAGTGAATGAAGCTTGTTGTCTGAGGCAATGATGTAACTGACACACACACACACATACACAAGGTGCAGGAGAGGAGAGGAGCCCCTCCAGCCAGCCGCAGCAGGGGGGTTGGATCCGGGCCGCTCTCGGACACACCCCCGTGTTAAACCTGTGTTTCAATCTTGCTGAAGCGAGGATTAATGCCTCGCATTAAATCGCTCTCTCTCTCTCTCCTCTCGCATTTTTTATCCTCTCTCCACCACGCAACCTGTTTTATTTACGAGATACACCTACGTAGATGAGAGAACCTCCCATCCGCTCGGATCAGGTGAACAAATAATTTCCATTTTTCAAACGACACGATGTGCCGCATTGCCGTTACATCCAATCCGAGCAAATCCAATAAATAAAATTGAAACAAATTTGATTCGCTTTGATTAATAACTCAGAATCAAAAACCAATCGAAATCTCAATCTTGACATATATACAGATTATCTGCATTATTTCATTTTTTTTTTATAAGACACAACAATTTTAGTAATCCTTTAATCAAATATCTTAATTTAAATAGTAGTAAACGTTATTTATCCACAACCCTTATTTAATTACAACCATTACCATATATTATCAAACATCTTTAACTTTAATAGTGTCGAATTAGGCATATTATTATTTTTTTATAATACAAGTTACAAGTGAATATAAGAAATTTTTCTATCAGAATTTGAAAAAGTTGACGAAAGTTTGAAAAATATTGATACATATATTGATTTTCTATTTTTAAAACAAACAGGAATTAATACATTTTTTGATATTGTATCTGGAGTTGAAGGTGGACGAGTTGTAGGGTATTCTAAAATGAAATCTGTATGGAAAGAAATAGAAAATCAAAAACCATTTATTAAAATGTTAGTTACGAACAAGTATATGGATATAATATTAATTTGGATACTTACCATAGTTCAGTGTTTGCAGTGCCGCAGCAAGGGGGCGCCAAAGTCGCAAGTAATTGGTAATAATATTGGTTATAGATACGATTTGATTTCTTGAGGTGGGGGCGGGGGGGGCGCAAATTGGTTATTTGGTAGCAGGCGCAAGAAAGATTACCTTGCTGCGGCCCTGTGCGTTGGTTAAATTTCCGATGTTACGAACTTAAGAACAAAAGAAATAAAAACAATCCTTAAATCTTGTAATTCACTTAGTAATTATATAATATTTTGTTTATAACTTAGTTGAATGACTGTAAATACTATCATTGGATACTTACAATACTTGTGCGTTGATAATCGTTTTAGAATTGTGCCGATAAATATGGTATCTTAAAATTGAACATGAAAAAAATGGTAAATTAGTAATGCATGAATTCAACTATTTTCTATAGTAATAAAGAATACATTGAAAAATATACTTACTTCTATAATATCGTATATACTTTATATGGGTCTATATCGCAAGCCCAACAACCGAAATCCCGACGTTCGAAATCCCGACTATATTGTAATCCTGACTATGTCAAAATCCCGACTACAATAATCCCAACAATCAAAATCTCGACTATATCGAAATCCCGACTATCATAAAAATGTTATTGTAGAAATTTATAATATTAATAAAAGACACTGTCGACATAGTCGGGATTTTGATTGTCGAGATTTTGACATAGTCGGGATTTCCATAGAATCGGGATTTCGGTTGTCGATACATATGATATTTAGTTTAATTCAAATTTAATTTATGACTGTTATAATAAATATGATTACTATTATTTTTATTTATTTATTAAAAACAAAAAATTTACTAACAGTATTTATTGCAAAAGATACATTATAAACAATATAAAAAAATATATATAATCATATGAAGTAACTAAAATTTGCAGAATAATTTATACTGCAAATAAATATTTAAATAAGTTTACATTATAAAAATAATCTAAGATTGAAAATAAAATTAGTTCAATTTTGATAAATACAACATGCTCAATATATGTTGTTTGTCGCATAGTGCGGTTTTGATCAGTGCGGATTGATAAATACAAAAACAAACTAATTTTTACTTGAGTATTGTCAGTCTTCTTTTGTGATTTTTCAAACTGTGCGGGAATCAAAAAGTCTATACAATACGAACTATTCATGTACTTTGTTTTAATGAATGTGTGTTAAGTGTTCATTATGAATTCGCTTAAACATTTAGTTGAAAATAGCCGGCAGCTTTGGGGTCTGCGGTTTTTCGGAGAAAATGCAGGGATACGACCGCAAGCGCGTTTTCTGGGGCGAGATTATTGATTTCCACTTGTTTTTCCTAACACGATCTTGCAATATCGTATTTAAACGCGTTTCCTTCAGATTATGTAATTACAACTAACAACAACGTCAATTCAAATTTCTTAAATAACTACTGTTTGCTACTGTTTATATACAGTGGAACCTCGCTTAACGAGCAAAATTGCACTTAATTAGCGACGTTTCGCATAACGAGTGAAGATGAGAAGAGAAGTCCCGGATTTGAATATGTTTCACTATACGAGTATTTCACTATACGAGTAAAAATCCGGAAATTTTGGAACGAATTAAACTAGTATTCTATTTTTTCCATGAGTTTTCACTTTTTATAAATTGATTTATAACATTAATTTTTGAATTTACATTGCAATAATCGTATGTTTTTCATCAAATTCATATACAAAAGTAAATGATTTTGTCATCAGATATTTTAGAACGAATTCCAGTGATTTTGAATGCATTAGTGACTAAAAATACTGAATTTTGAGTAAATTATAAATTAAAAGATTTAAGATAAACATTAATATAAATATAATTTTCTTATCGAATTATGTAATGCATTTACTTTTACAACCAGATACATAATATAATAAGAAATATTCTTTATGTATTCATTATATATCAAAACTATTTTTAGAATTTAACAAGATTTTTAAAAATTATATAATGCATAATGCATCAAACATTTAGAACTAATTAGATTTCAAAGTGAAGTTTTGAATTAAGTAAATAACTTTTTTGTATAGCTTAATTTTTAAGATTTCAACATTTAACTTTTGAAAGCAAAGTTTTCATAGTAATTTTCATAATTGTGTATATTTTTAATAAAATATTGTGCACGTATTAGATTTCTAAGCAATGTTTCGAATTTAACGTTGATTATTACAAATGTAACAAAGTTTTTGGTATAAACAAATGATTTGTTTTGTTGGTGTGAATGTTTCGGTTTAATGAAATTGCGCTGCAAAACCGCTAATTATTTTTTTTTAATTGATATTTCCGATATCGCGGAATACCGTAATTGCAAATGAAATTTGAACCCTCTGCGGAAATATAAACAAACAATCAAAGTTAAATTCAACGTAAGTGTGTGTGTGTATGTAAATGCGGCGTCCGTGGATGTAGAGGTGTATGTGTGTGTGTGGTTGTACAACATTATTATGTGGTAATTTGCGGCGGGTGGTTGTTTGCAGTGATTGGAGTAGAGTTAGGGGTTGAATGCTCCGCCTATGATCGGGGAGAACATCCGGGAATTCGAGGGGGATGCGCGCAGGACGGATCTCATCCTTCCCCGCGGGGGACACGGGGGTGCCCCTCCGTTCAAGGTACGCCCAACGCGGGGCGCCGTCCTCCCGCCCTGCGCCACCCTCCGCCCGCACCCATCTACCACCTCCACCACCACCACCACTACCACCTACATTCTCCATGCAGCCATGCCTCATATTTCATAACTGTGATGAGGTCTTCCCGTGTGGCGAGACCCTGATTATTAAACTCTAACCGTGCATAAGAAACTTGCTGCAAGCAAGAGGAACGCTCCGAAGCGGCGAGAAAGATGGAGGATGAGAATGAGGTGGATGAGGATGAGAGAAGGGCGCTTTTAATCTAAAAACCACCCATCCCACCCATTGTGCTTTCTCAAACGAGCGCGCGTTTCGGCAACAATATTACATAATTAGTTTCAAAAGGAAAATGTTAACTTTATATACACTTGTAATTATAACGTTCGAGTCTAAAACCCCTTTTTCGTGTTTGGTGAAGGGAGGGGGTGTAAGGGATGGATGATAAGTTTGTGATCCGCTCAAAAGTAATTAATTCACGCCCTCCATCCCGAACAGCGACGGAACTGCTCCGCTTATTACTTACTCACTTTCTTATTACCCAACAACTCGCAGTCTTAATATATCGCAGCCTATCACAATTAAAAAGCGAAAACCCTAATTGATTGACAGTACTGACATTCTGAACAACCCCCTCATAATTTCTTGTCAATTTCAGTTTTCCGTCACATAATATTATCGAAAAGCAGTATTATTTACATGAAATTCCAAACAATTTCAGATATCCAGATATTGTTTCATGTAATATATCATTTTTTACTAATGTTTAATTGATATTTTACAAATTGGAAATGAAAAATGTATTTTGTAAATGTTTATGACGATTTTTTATATAGTTTGAATAGTATTTTATAGGTAAATATTGTCAAATTGTAATTTATTGAGATTAAATAACTTAATTTCCTTAAGCGAAAATTGAAGATTTTGAAAAATAATACTCTTTAATTTTTTTATAAAATCTATATATATCTATATATAAGAAACAACTACAACTGTAAGCAGGTTGATGCATAACAAGGGTGGAATGAAGTCTAGCAAGAGAAGATTGCTAGGAGTAGTGGCACAATCTATAATGTTGTACGTTGTCCAGTATGGGAAGAAGCGATGAAGATGCAGATCTACAGAAGAGCTCTGGAAACAGTCTAGCGCAGGGGATTAATAAGGTTCTGCAGCGTTTACAGAACAATCTCCCGAGATGCAGTTCAAATAATTGCTGGCATGCTACCAATCGAATTTCTAATCAGAGAGAGATGGGAGAGGCAGAAAGGTGTGAGCAAGGAAACTGACAAGGCTAGACTGCTGGAAAAGTTGCAGGAAAAATGGGATAGTTCAGAGAAGGAAGCCTGGACTAGAGGCTTAATCCCAAAAATAGTACCTTGGAGAAACACAGCGAGAAAACATTCCATC